GAGTGAGAAGAAGGAAGCTGCCGCGGCCGCGCCGGTGAATGAAGGAGGAAGCGCGCGGAGCGGCTGAGACGCTGAGGCGGAGCTAGCGAGCTAGGTCTCGCTGTCGGCCTGTCGCTGAGGCTGGCGCTGCGGCTGCGCTGGGTGCAGGACGCTGTCTCGCACTCTCGCTGTCTGACTATCTCGCAGCTGAGTGAAAGCCGAAAGGGAATAGGCAGCCAGGCAGGGTAAGGGTCAACTAAGGGTAAGGGCCGAAATGGCCAAGGCCCAATGCCACATTTCTGAATTAGTGAATTGGGTTGGGGTGCTGGGCTGTGGGCTATTTCTGATAAATGGGTATAACGGGTACCCACATTACCCAAACGGGTATTTGCGGGTAACCCGCGGGTACCCATATTAGGAATGTACAATCCCAAGTCCCATCCGTTTATAATAATACGGGTAATATGGGTACCCGTAACCCTTAAAAAACGAGATAGGTACGGATATACTCAAATACCCGTTTCCCGTTGCCCACCCCTAGAGTGATGGGTTGGGAAGGAAATAATTCAAAGATAGAAAGCAAGAGAAAAGGGGAAGGAGGACCCATAACGAAATTAAAAAGGTGGCGGCAGAAGAAGATGGTGATGACGGGTGAGGGAACCATTTCAACTCCATAACCATAAACATAACCAGCCATTAATATTGATGATCTCGAGTTCTGGACTTGATTCGTGTTTCAATTTTGTATTATTTTTTTGGATAAATGCCATACTTGGTTAATGAGATTACTAAATCATGTCATGTTTAGTCACTAGAAAAATCTTTTGACAAAAAAAAAAAAGTCACTAGAAAAATTTAATATCAATTTTGGTCACTCGAATTACTAGAACAGGTCACATTTAGTCACTGTGCCGTTAGTTTCTGCCCAACTTCATTAATGGAGTTGGTCGGAAACTAACGGGAGAGTGACTAAAGGTGACATTTTCAGTAATTCGAGTGACTAAATATGACATGTTTCAGTAATTCGAGTGACTGGAGTTGGTCGGAGGATAACGGGAGAGTGACTAACTGTGACCTGTTTCAGTAATTCGAGTGACCAAAATTGATATTAAATTTATCTAGTGACTAAACATAACACGATTTAGTAATCTTAGTGACCAAATGTGGCATTTACCTTTTTTTTTTTTTTCCAAAGATAACATGTAGCAGGATTATTGGTCTTTCGTCTGCTTGTTATTGTGTTACGACTCGCTTCATTTACAACTTTTTATCTATAGCCTTCCTACGATCATTTCTCTTACTTTAATCTTTTCTAAGCATGGACATATGTCTTTCGAATATCCTTGGTTCGCCTATAGAGTGCATCTCCTTCGGTTTCTGGTATGGTTGTTGAATTGTAGCTCTGATTCGTTTGAACGTATGTTAAAGGAAGTTTATACGTATTGATCGGTGTCTCAAGTAGAGCTAATATTGCACTTGACATAATACTAACATGGGAGCTAAGGTAGTCATTGTAGATGTGCCTCATTGTCATTCCTGATCATAACAGTCCAAACCATTTTTAAATAATGGGAAAAGGTAGGGACAATGCCCTTCATAAGCAAAGACATTTCAGCCAACTTAGAAATAAAAAGTTAACAATATTATCTCAAGATTCAAATAATTACAAGATAATAATTTGATCCACGCCGTTTACAACGTATCATGGCGAGATTTCATATTTTGATAACATTGTATAATACATTTCTTGTCCAAAGTAGCAGACAAATCTCATTCACTTTATGTCACTAATGCACCAGTTAACCACTCGTCGTTCATCCGGCTCTGACGATCGTTCTTGATATATTGCATTAATGTATGGATAATTGTTTTAAATAGAAGTGTATATGCATAATGAAATCGTACAATTTATCTTATGAGAATGATAAGACAGGGTATTACGAATTCACCGGATTGTGAGTTCTATATATAATTAACCAACATGTTGTAGAAATTCACTTGCCCCCACCCAAGGAGGGTGCAAAGCACCCCCAAGGTTATACACAGCTCCGCCACTGCTTGTTCTACCCAACTACAACTGAGCTAATTTTGTCCATATCCCAAGGGAGGATAAACTTATCTTGCACTATGATAAATCCAGTACACAGTGAGGTCAGATTATCACCTTATAACAAATGAAATCAATCCATTTCACAATGATATTCCAGACTACTTGGACACAAATATGAGTATTTGTTACTTTATTTAGAATGTGTATTTTACTTAACTATGAATATGGATTGTAAGTAAATTGTCTTCAAATTAAATTAATTTTCTTTTACAATGGCATCACTTGCATTGCACTTTGTAAGATCGATTACAAGAGAAATCAAAGAAGAAAACCAGAAACAAATCAGGAGTATACATCTCCAAGCAAAAAGTTGAAACAATCAGTGTTTCAGAGATAATACAAGGGAAGCACAGTCACCAAATGAACCAACCCCAACATTGGATCTGAAACACTTGATCCACATCTAGTAAACACAAATCTCTTGCAACCAAACCAAACAAAGTAGCACCTAACGCAGACAACTCGTCCGATCCGAATGAGACCATGGCTATTGAACACAACAATGCATAAGCCGCCTCCTGAGATTTGTCCGAAGACGCTCATCACAGTGAATCTCAGATGTGGGATTACATGACGGTGGTCAGTGTTGAGAATCAGATTGCTCCAAGCTGAAGAAGCAGAGGGAGCCAGGGAACCAAATCTTGGTGAAAGCGAGCGAGAACCCATACCCCAAAATCCAAGAACTGTCACCATGGCCAACCGGATCAGACACCGCCATCCACCCACCAACGACGACCAAGAGGCATATCTAAACCACCAGCAGAGGCCAAAGGGGGAAATCTGTGAAAGGATTCAACAAAAGAAAGATAAATCTACCATCTTGAGGGACAACCACTACATATAGTCTGATAGAGACGCCCAAGATGCATAATCCAACCGCAAGAAGAGCAAACCCAGAAATAAGAACCCTAAAACGTAAATAATTGAAAGGCCACATAGGTTGGAAATGCAGGAAAAAAAAAACTGAAAAATTCAATAGAAAAGCCTAAAAACATATGCATGGGAGCTTAAAAAGGAAGAAGGGAAATGGAGGGATCATTGGGCTACCCCATGTCACCAAAAGGCATAGTTAGTAAAATACGGTACGGGAAAGTTACGTATAAAGTACGTACGGGTATTTTACGTCGTCTCTAAGCTCATGTTATGTTTAATAGTACGTTAATAGTCATAAATATATAAAATTAATTATTTTTATAAATAAATAAATAATAGTAAATTTAACACTTTAATTCATTAAATACAAATATTAAACGTGTTATACGGGTTTTATATGTGTTTATTACGGGAGCCATCAAATGAATGGGAAAAAAATGAAACAACTTGACAATAACACGGATACAGAAGTTTTAAACGGATAAAATGTGTACGAGTACATATACGTGTATTAAACGGAGTATTTACTAATTATGCCTAAAGGTGCCAACAACAACCCCTGGGAAGCTGAACTAGGGAGAGGGCATAAAGCACTTCTTAATTAAAGTAAGGGGCCGTTTGGAAGTTGCGATAGTTTTGTTGAGATTGTCATTATGCATGTATTGTTTACAATGCATCATTTTTTTGTTTTTTTAGCAGAAATAATACATGGATTGTTTCTGTGATGTGACAGAAACTATCACTCATTTTGAGTGATTGTTAGGGGTGTTCGAATGGTTACCATGGTTATTACCAAACCAAATAAGGCTAAATTTTATTAACCACGGAATACAATATCATAACCAAACCATCCAAACTAATACAACAACCAAATTAACCAAACTAAAGTTTAATCAGTTTGGTTAATTGGTTAACTAGATTAACCAATATAAAATCACATTATCATTAAGTGAGAAAATTTTCAGTTAATTTATCAATTTACAATTTATATAATGAATAAAACATAACAATCAACACATAGTTATAATAGACCCTTAACATAAATACATACAACTAAGATAATTATCTTACGTTTAGTATAGAAGTATTCACCTAACAAAAATATCACAATGGCATGGGTTAATGAATTGTTGTGTTTGTTTGAATTGACTTAGTCTTTTAGCAATTTTCATAGGCCGAAAAAGACCTTGTTTTCAAGTTTTCATCCAATATAATGTATGAGATTTATTTAAATTAGGCGTTCATATGTTGTGGTCTACACTCTACATATACAAATATACATTATAGGAACAATATCAAGCTTTATATTTTATGAGTCTAAAAGGGATGAACGTTTAACTTTTGAGTGATTATTAAAAGTATTAAGTATGTGTATATATTAGATATATGGCTAATTATTATCTGGTTAATTTGGTTTGGGTAGTTAGGAGTGTCTGAAACCAAACCAAACCACCTAAACCAAACAAGCTAACCAACCCAAACCAATTATCCAAATTAACCAAACCAAATTATCCAAATAGTATTGGTTAAAACGTTTACCATGGTAACTACACCGTTTGAACACCCCTAGTGATTGTTATATCTCAACTTTTAGTTGTAATTGTTGAGATAGTTGAGTTGAGATTGTTTTGTCTCAGTTTTTAGCTGATGCGACATACACAATCACACATACCAAACGTTGTATTCTACAATGCATCAAATTCGACAATACATGTATAATATATACATGCATTCTCAACAATACATGTATAATATATACATGCATTCTCAACAATACATCTATTTAACAATCGCAACTTCCAAACGACCCTAAGAGAAAGAGGGCACGAAAATTTGCTTTAAAATTTAATAAATTTTTTATATTTTTACACAGTTTTTCTTTTGGTAAAAATTTTACACATTTTTTAAATCAACATTACCCGACATAAACTAATTGTATCATAAGTCGAACCGTCCACGGGCGCTAAATCGATGAACGAAATAAACCGGTTTGAAACCTCGCTCACAAGTCACCACAGTCCACAACCTCGCGAGAAAAAAGAAAACAACTTGAAAAAGAATAACTAAGCGCAGACGGGAAAAAGGGTGCGAGCAGAGCAGAAAGATAAATTGATGGGGTCTTCTCCAATCTCCCCTATTCGCCTCTCTCTTTTCCGTTTCTCCGCCATAGTTTCTCTCCTTCCTTCCTTCCTCCCTTCCCAAACAAACCGGCTGCTCGCCAGTTTTACAGAGCAGAGCAGAAAGAAGAAGCGAAAAGCTGGACAGATTCAATGAACCGTCGCCTCCCTTCATTTTCACTCTCTAGCTGGTTTCCCTCAACACCGCTGCTCCGTTCGTAGCTACTGCGATCTCACCCGCGACGAAATCCCAGCTCCGTCTCGCCCTTCCCTTCCTCATGGATACGCCTACGCCGCCGACGGAAGAGCTTCTCCGGAAGATTCAGGAGCTGGAAGCCGGTCAAGCTGAGCTCCAACAGGAGATGACGAAGCTTAAGCTCTCTTCCGATCCAAAATCTGAGAATCTTATCCTTCACCAGCAACAGCAGCAGCACCATCACCACCACCATCTTCACCACCATCCTCGCTCCCAGTCAATCTCGCCTCAGCGTCCTGGGACTAGAAGGAGCTTCGACAGGGCTGCGTCTATGAAGAAGACCTCGCCGCCGTTTAGGCATTCGTCTCCCTTGCAGAGAGAGTCTCGCCGTCCGAAAAGCGGTCCCAATAGGATTAATGTTGGCGAAGATGCCGACGGCGGTGGAGAAAGTGCCGGTCCGTCGGCTATTAAGTTTACTGATAAGCAGTACTTGAACATATTGCAGTCCATGGGGCAGTCCATTCATATTTTCGAACCTGACGGCCGTCTTATCTACTGGTAAACTGACTATTGATAGCAGTTCATAGTTTAAGTTCCGTTTCTAATCTCTGTTGACGTGAAGCTCGTTATCGTCAATGGCGATTCGATTTCATTTCTGGCGATGGTGGTTGAATTTATCGGAATCACTAGCTTTTCTGCGTATTTCTGCTGCATTCTCTATGTTGAATTTTGGCGCATGCCAATAATTTTTTTTTCAGGAATCGAAGGGCTGAGAAACTGTTTGGCTGGACTGCGGCAGAAGCTCTAGGTCAGTACAACATTGACCTGCTTGTAGATCCTAGGGACGCCATGCTTGCGCAGACCATTATTGATCGCAACGGTGTGGGAGAGAGCTGGACTGGACAGTTCCCTGTGAGAAACAAGATGGGTGATAGGTTTACAATTGTGGCCACCAATACCCCTTTCTACGACGACAACGGCGATTTGATTGGAATTATATGTGTATCAAATGATTCACGGCCATTCCAAGAAGTGATCGTCGATTTATCTGGTCCGAAGAGTTCAGAAGCAGACTCAAGTTCTACCCGTGCTTGTGTTAGAAGCAGCACCAGTGTCTCTGCTAAGCTTGGGCTCGATTCCCAGCAGCCTCTGCAAGCAGCAATTGCGTCTAAGATATCAAACTTGGTTAGTTCCGTTAATAGTTTTATGCTTTCCACATTTGGCTATCTGCACTTTGCATGTATTGATGTTCTTGGCCTCAAATCAGGCTACCAAAGTGAGCAACAAGGTGAAGTCGAAGATTCGAACTGGAGAGAACAATGTCGATCATCGTGAAGGTGTTAGTGGAGATAGCCATCATTCTGATCATGGTCATGGCTTCCAGGAAGTAGTAGCAGACCATAGGGATGATGCAAACTCTAGTGGTGCTAGTACCCCCAGAGCCAGTACACCGAGGGGAGATTTTCATCCATCTCCTTTTGTTGTTTCACATTATGGCGACGAGAGTGATGGGAAACCTCCAATCCACAAGATTATCACTTCGAAGGCAGAAGCTTGGATGGGTAAAAAAGGAATATCGTGGCCATGGAAAGGGAACGAAAGGGAAGTTTCAGAGTCAAGACCCACCAAATTTGTTTGGCCTTGGTTGCAGAATGATCAGGAGGGTGAAAAGAGTCCCTCTTATGGTGGTACCAAAACTGAGAGTTACTTTAATGAAGGTACTAATCGCCATGGCATTAGTGACGCATCTGGGTCATGGTCATCCTCTGCAAATGTTAACAGCACGGGCAGTGTCAGCAGTTGTGGTAGCACAAGCAGTACTGTTAATAGGTTAGATATGGAAAGTGACTGCTTAGATTCTGAAATACTGTGGGAAGATTTGACCATCGGGGAACAAATTGGACAAGGTTTCCATCTTAGTAAACCTACTCTTATGCTACTTTTCTAGAAGTAGGACTGGGTTTAAAGATTTCTTTGTTAAATTGGTCATGTTGAGACATTCTTCTGACTCTTTTGATGGTGCAGGATCTTGTGGGACTGTCTATCATGCCCTGTGGTATGGATCAGTATGTTTTTCCCCTCATCCTTATATCTTATTCTAATTCCATTTCTGACAACTGAATCCAGGATACTAGCATCCTGAAGTTCGACGTAGATGTCTCGAATATGAACTTTCCTTTGTCTTGCCAAATTAGGCTGACATTGTTCATACCCGACATTAGATTTGCCTTTTCTATGTGTGTATCAGTAGTAGAACTGCACAATAGTGTGTTGGCTAGTTTCTTTGTCAAGCCATTTTGTCAAATACTCAAATATACTAAATATGCATGATTACTATTTTGGTGGGTGAAACTTGAAAGATAGGCCACTTTTGTTTTCAGGACGTTGCAGTCAAGGTATTCTCCAAGCAAGAGTATTCAGACGATGTGATACTTTCATTTAGACAAGAGGTGTGCTTGTTCTTTCTTATGTACTATCATCTATAATTGACACATCCCTCTTATCCCTTTTGTTTGATCCTCCGATAATTATTCTTCGATGAAGGTATCCCTTATGAAAAGACTTCGCCATCCCAATGTGCTGCTCTTTATGGGCGCCGTGACCTCACCTCAGCGTCTCTGTATCGTTACAGAGTTCCTTCCTCGGTACTTCCTGAAAGCTACAATTCTCAAGTTGCTAGCTCTATAATTCTTTGTCCAATGCATGTCCTGATTCTTTGTTTTTGCGACTGCAAATCAATTATGGTATCTAGCTAGTATTACCTAAAAGGGATATGCTCACTAGGCTGAGACACACTTTCCAATTTTGCCTGTTATGCAGTGGAAGTTTGTTTCGTTTGATCCAAAAGAACACAGCCAAACTAGAGTGGAGACGGAGAGTACACATGGCTTTGGATATTGTAAGCAGTCGTCTTTGCTTGTTTCTTTCAATGCTTACATTTCTCCTGAAAAGTTTATGTTTCTTATTATTCATCTCTCGGTAGATGAACCGTTTGCTCATACACAATCCTACTGTGGTATCATCTGTTGCAACAGGCAAGGGGTATGAATTATCTTCATCATTTCAACCCACCTATAGTTCATCGTGACTTGAAGTCTTCTAATCTTCTGGTTGATAAGAATTGGACGGTAAAGGTAAAGTCTACCGTTGATTAATTTGGGTTTTGCTTGTTAGTTGTGACCCCTGATACTGAAAAACCAAAAGCAAATAATCTGATGGCTATCTGACCAGGTTGGTGATTTTGGGCTATCTCGTCTAAAGCATGACACATTTCTGACAACCAAGTCCGGGAAAGGCACAGTAAGCATTTAATCTAGTGTCTGTACAATGGAAATGAAAATGCAATGTCATGTCTGAATGCTTTTTCTAGTTGTGACTTGTGATTTCTAGAATTGTTGAGATTTGATTCATCCAGAAAAGAAAAGATCTGATGTTTTTGAATGAAAGAAATGGAATTTCATTCAACCCTTGGGATTTCCTGTTCCTATTGAAAAAATTAGGTATGGTTATATTCTTCAGATAGGAATTAGTTAGGTGGAAATGAATTTCATGAATCCCATAACAAATTATTGGTAATCTTTATCTTGCTCGTTGCCTTCGCTTTCCTGCAACTATCTTGCTTTTTTATTTTTTTTCAAGAAGGACCAGTTGTTTGTATTTTCTCTCATTCAAACTACATTTTATTTTGATTGTTGTGGGAATTGTTCTGAACTCGATATCTTGAGAACTCTAAAAAATGGAAACACTAATAATATATTGCATTAAAAAAACTAATGGGCTATTTTCCTATTGCCTGTGCAGCCTCAATGGATGGCGCCAGAAGTTCTCCGCAACGAACCCTCCGATGAGAAGTAATTGGCCCTACTCTTGTTTTCTTGCTATGCATTTCTTCGTCGAAAGTTCTGGCTAGTCATCCTGCTTGATTACTTCAATTCCTCTTCCATGCAGGTCTGACATCTACAGCTTTGGAGTGGTACTGTGGGAACTTGCGACCGAGAAGATTCCTTGGGATAATCTCAACTCAATGCAGGTACTATAAGAAGCATATTTTCCCCCGTCCAGCTATCTGACAAGATTCAGCATGGCATATATGAGCAGAATCATTGATTTAGTATAATTTCAGGTAATTGGTGCCGTGGGATTCATGAACCAACGGTTAGAAATACCAAAAGACCTAGATCCCCGTTGGGCCTCTATAATTGAGAGCTGCTGGCTCAGGTACGTCACCATTTTCAGCCTCATTCTTTCCTTCCCAGAGTTTTGGTCCATTGAATGTACTCTTGCTGATGTTAGCTAGATCCTAGGTATAAGACATTTCTTTTCTATCATTATGTGAAATAATCCTGCAATAGCGTCAACATGCAATACCTATCAGAAAACAAAAACCGGGTGGTCTGAACTGGATCTCTTAACATGTTCCCTTTAGGTGCTGGCATTGGCTTTGCAGTTTGTAGTGAACTGAATAGGATTCCATCTGCACTGAACTGATTTGGGTTGAATTGATATCTGAATTGGATAGGATGATATCCATGTATTAATTCTACCTAGTTCTGGTTCTCAATTCTAAGATTTTACTATTGGGATTTGGTTCCACCCATGCTGCACCATATAGAATCAAGGAACCGTGAGGACAATAACCGAGCCGAATTTGAAACAAAGCATACTTGGTAGGGGTGTCAGTTCGGGTCGGGTTCGGTTACCCAAACCGAAACCCGAAAACCCGAAACCGATAAGGACTTTTGGTTTCCGGTTACCCGAAAACGATAAGGACTTTCGGTTTCCGGTTACCCGAAAACCCAAAAATTCCTTATCGGGTTCGGTTAAAGCAAAGCCGAAACCCAAAAACCCGAATGCCTAAGAATACGGGCTGAGTTATATTCCTTGGAGGTTCTCAGACGGAACCCGAAAACCCGATAAGCAAAACCGAAAAACCCGAAACAAACCGAACCCGAAAAACCGAAAATGTATCTAAGCGGGTCGGTTTTGGGTAAACCCGAAAAAACGAACCCGAATGGACACCCCTAATACTTGGATCAGTCTAACAATTCGATCTGATCAAATATTCTTTTGTCATACGATTTCTGTTTCAGTTTTTGTTTTGTTTTTTTTTTTATCTTAGGATTTCTGTTTTAGTTGTGGAACTGTCTAACGTGTCATGCCCTGTTATTTTGGGTTTGGTAAACCCTATATTGCAGTGATCCAGCCAGCCGCCCGTCGTTCCAAGAACTCCTGGAAAAGCTGAGGGACCTTCAGAGGCAGTACACCATTCAGCTCCAGGCGGCCCGTTCTTCCGCAGCAGCTGGAGAGCATCACACCACCATCCTCCACAAGGAAAGATAGCCACGCCAAGCCAACTGCGTGGCGCGATGAGAACAAACTATGTAGCATCTGCGTCGAGAATTTAAGAACCTCCACAAGTCCCGCTGAAACCTTTTCGGCGTCATATTTAAGAAGAAAAGATCCATTCCCCACACCGCCCCCGATTTTGATTGCCGGGAAGGAATCCATGTGGATTTGTAGTGCCACGCAGTGACAGAACAATCTACAGAGTCAAATGTTGCTGACGGGGGGGCAGAAAGGCACAAAATAGGAGGGTTTTTTCTTATGGCAGCAGCCATGTGAAGAGATTTTCGGGAAAGGTCTTTTTGAGGTTTGTTTTTTTCATGGTGGGCACTGGGCTGGCTGAGTTGGGACTTCGGAGTCGTTGGTGCGCGCGTTTTTTTGTACATGTTTCTGGGACGCGCCAATATTTAAGATCGAGAGGGAGGGCGGTGCTGTCATTTGCTGTCATTTTAGTTTGGGGGGAAGGATTCATTCCCAAATTTATTAGTTCATTGTATCCACTGTAGGAATTCGTTGTGCAGATTCAAAAGATTATATAAAAGGAAAAAAGGCGGACGAAGTCAGTGAATTTAGATTAATGGTGTCTTCTGCAGTGTTCTCGTGATGTTCTCAAATTGACTCACGGTCTCACTCACTTGTTGTGGGTTGTTATTATTGTGTTGGGGGTTGTGGGTTGTTATAATTGTGTTGGGTGAGTAGCGGATGAGTGTGGTTGGGTAATGGTTAACCTAGGGATGGCAACAAAACCCGAACTCACGGGTACCCACCCGACCCAACCCGGTCAACGCGGGTAAAATCCGTGTTGACGGGTTTTGGGCCGGGTTTGGGTTTAAACCCGTTCACTATTCACCAGGTTGGGTTGGGTTTGGGTTTAGGTAAACCCGGCCCGTGGGTACCCGCCCACCCATATAATTATTTTTTTCGGTATATTTAATATTCTAAACAATTATTCTTATTTATGTTTGTGGAGACATGTCTAATTTTTTCTTTTTAATTGTGTAGAATGAAGTTGATGTTATGGAGTGGAGAGTAAAGAAACTTAATTGAAAGAAAGAAGTTTTCAATTAAACATGTTATTTATGGCTAATTTGTGATTTGCTTCAATTTTCTTGAGTTTTCTAGATTGGTGTTGAACAATTTGTATAGTTAATTTGTGATTTGCTTGAATTTTCTAGAATGGTGTTTTATATATGGATAATTTGTATTGAGAGATTGATATTTGACTTTAATTTGTGATTTGCTTCAATTTTCTTGAGTTTTCTAGATTGGTGTTGAACCATTTGTATAGTTAATTTGTGATTTGCTTGAATTTTTTAGAATGGTGTTTTATATATGGATAATTTGTATTGAGAGATTGATATTTAACTTTAATTTTGATAAGAACTTGTAGTTGTAAATTTTTTACGACTAAACCCGTGGGTACCCATGAACCCGCGGATACCCAACGGGTTGGGTTGGGTTTGAGTTTTTCAAACCAAGTGGGTTTTACCCCGGGTTTTTTTCAAAGATAAACCCATGGGTTTGGGTTCGGGTTTGGCAAAACCCGACCCAACCCGACCCATTGCCATCCCTAGGTTAACCCGCAAAAATAATTCTCCAACTAATCATTAAAAAACGTTGACTAACATTTATATTAAGTTTATAGTAAGGCTTTTGTGTGTAATTTGGGCAACTGTTCGATCACTTGTGCTGAGCTTAAATCTGCTGCGGTTGGCCTCAGGATTGTGTGGGAAGGTCACAGAAAAGTGGAGCTGAACCTTGACTCCAAAATTGCCATTTCCATTTTCAATTGCTCGGAGGATATGATCATAGACATGGATTGCTTGCAGCATCCAATAGGTTCCTTTTGAACCTCGATTGGGAGGTTAAAATTTCTCATGTTTTTAGAGAAATGAACGTAGCGTCGGACTATCTTACTCTATCAACCAATTGTGTTGTGTAGAGAAAATGTAGGTATTTTGCGATTTTGATACAACTATTAGTTTATAGTTTACATCCTAGTATCTAATTAATATTAACCAATAATTTGCATCCTCATATTCAATATCTAATGGATACTGGATAGAGGTGGCAACTCTCAATCCAATCCACCAACCCATTAAAAATATCCACCTAATCCAATTCATTTGATCCAAATGGCAAATTACGGTTTGGTACCTATACTTTTTATATTTTACATTTTGGTACCCAAAATTTATTTTTTATACCAAAATATCATTGGAAAATTACGTTTTGGTACCTAAAATTTTTCATGATGACATTTTAGTACCTAAACTTTTCATATTTTACATATTGGTCCTTGGTTCAGGATGACATTTAGATTCATGGATAATCCACCTATCCACTTGATCCAATCCATGAATCCACCAATCCATTGGATCCAATCCATTTGATCCATGAATCCACCAATCCATTGATCAATCCATTTGCCACCTCTACTAATGAATTATACAACACAATAACCAACAATAGTATTAAAAAACTATTATTTATTCTCCAACTTTATAAGTAGATGGTCCGTGTGTAGTGCGGTTCGAAAATATGATGAATATTCTAAAGTATAAGAAATTACATTTTTTCATGTGAAAATAGGGTGCGTGTCATTCGAGTGACCCACATAAGTATGTGTAGGAGATTTATCAATTCGTAATCCATCCACATCAATCATCCACTGCTTGCGGTTCGGGTTATTTGCGGGTTGATCGATATCACCACACGAATTTAACACCCACGTACCCACCCTAGTGTTCTCCACTTGTACGTCTTAACTTTCTCTTTAGGGTAATGTCTATTTTTTATCCAAACCTTTTTCAGATTCTTTTATATTATCCAAACCTATTAAAATTATATTAATTATCCAAATCTTTCATAATGTATCAAAATATTAGTCATTTTTACGTTATCGTTAATAAAATTTTAACTATTTTCTTAGTTAAAATACTAAAATTTTGGAATGTTGACCTTCACGAGTCTCTTCCAAGTCAGTATCATGTTGCCAAGTCAATATTGCTAACAAAATTGCTAAATGAAAGTCAACATTTGGCTAATTTTTAGTATTTCGATAGGTTTGGATAATATAAAAGAATCAGAAAAAGGTTTGGATAAAAAATAGACATTATCCTTCTCTTGGGTCTTTAATACGAGTACTATTATATTATATATGAGTAATGTTATATAATTTGGTATAGTTAAATTTCTTATAAGAGTCGTAGAAGTCAAACAGTTTTATTAATGTTTGAGTTATTATAAAGTATGTTATTATACTTTATATAAATCCTACATGGTTTCAGTAATAAGACAACATTTTTCATCGAATTCTAATTACCTAACATAGTACCAGACCCTGATTCATGGATAAAAAAACCCTAAATTGTTATGGTGATGTGACGTGGGGGATGACGTTTTTGGTATTCTTACAAAACAAAAGACTAAAACAATAATTCTCAAAGGAAATAATAAAGAAAATAGCGAATAAAAGAACGAAAACTAAATATTTGAGTTCCAATCTTCTTATCCATTAAACGAAAAAAGTACATATTTATAGGCTAGGAAATCTTGACAATTCCCTCTGCATTTCCTACTAGGTCGAGGACCCTTTCTTCCATTTCCTAACCAAAATATAAACCTATTCTACAAGAAAACAAATTCTAAATCCTAAACACACACGATCTCCATGTTGGTGTTTGGAGCACGTAGTTCAGTTTTTCGTGGCAATAAAATTTACTGGTCACTTCTTTTTCTTCTAGAGCATCTTCCTTTTCTGTAGCGTTGTAATGAGTGGTCAGTTATTTTGTTGGGCACTTGGTTTGAAAGACAATATGATTTTCGCAATAGCTTTCGTTATCTCCAGCTTATCACTACCAACATTTTTGTTGGCCGTGGCCTTTGATTACACTCAATTTATAGTGTTTATCACTCCCACATGGGATACAATTTTCCCTTGTATCAATGCATCTATAGTACTTTCTCTTATATTTTACATCTAAATCGTATCTATTTGATCAATGGGCATTTGATAGACTTAGGTTGTGTTTTTGTATTATTTTATGTCTTCTTGCTATGTTTTGTGCTTTTCAAGGTAAATACAGTTGAGGAGAATTTGAATCAAGCATTGGGTGA